TTGTTGCGATCTCGCGCGGGCTTCAAATATGCCCTATTGCTGCTCATACGAGTGCCGTTCATGATCGTGGTCTGCAAATATGAGAATCCTATTTCGTTCTTCCCGTTGTAATCTACTAGTGGATATCCCAGCTCCTTGCCGGCTTCTAGAAATGCCTCTGCCAACGGGGTATGAAATGACGGGTGCGTGATATGTACTGGTCCATCGGTACCATGGTAGAGAATATCCGATTTCAGCTCCGGGATATCTATTGTTTCCAGCTTTTTAAAATATTTGAGAACGTCGTTGTATGCCCAGCCTTCGTTTCCCATCTCGGCCCATCGATCGTAATCTTCGGCGCCGCCTCTAGTTGCTATCATAAAATTTAGCACGCTACTGCCGCCGATTACTTTTCCCGCCGACCAAGCGCAACTGTTATCATTCATACCAAGACAATACTTATTGGATGGCTTAGTTTTGTACTTCCAATTGATCTTGTTGTTTAGAGATAAGATGGGAGCCATCATAGGAATGTTCGTGAAGAAGCTGTCGTTGGATCCAGCTTCGATCAGTAATATTTTGATGTGAGGATTTTCACTCAGCCTCGCTGATATTGCAGCGCCGGCCGTGCCGGCACCAATCACAATGAAATCAAACGTATCTCCATCTTGCAGTGTTAAATGCAATACTTTTTGACTTCGAAAACGTTGGTTTTGCTTCAAGAAATTCAATGTTCCAATGCTCAAGTCTATCAATTTTGATCCGCTCGTATTGTTGTCATAAAGTCTACGATACCAATTCGACGGCGATTGTCTTTGAGACTGTAATAGGCCGATTATGGCACTTAAAGTAAGAACACGAAGAAAGTACGTCACTTTTCTCATCATATCGAGATAGGGTTTGAACAGTGAAAGAACAATACGCAATAATAAAGAAGTGTGTGCTTAACTGCCCGTTATATGTGCTTGCATTAAGATGTATTTGTTATACAAATATCAGGTCAGTACGAATGTAGACGTATGATAAAGTAGGACATTGTATCTGTCATTAATCTCCCAGTCGAATTCCTCCGAGTTGAATCTTATCATAGGTTCCTGTTTAAATTTCCACGCATGTTCAAACGAAATTTCGTGTCATTTTATGTATTTCTTCGATACATATTTTGATTTAGTTGCCAGTTCATCAGTCAACATAACTCGATCCAAGGCCAGACTCATTATCGCGATCATCGACCTATAGTATGGACTGCGCGACGCAAGTCGAAAGCGTACATCATTGTGTAAGAAGGACAGCAAGGTCAGCACGCGATTACGGCCAATATCCATCTCTTTCTATCCAACACCGTAATATTGGTTGAAAAGAGAGAGATTGGTCGCACATACGCCATATTTTAGGACGTGTTTCATATACGAGTAAAGAAGGGATCGCGCAGTCCATATAGGTCGATGGTCGTGATATTATCAAATAACTTGTAACTTTATCGCAAATCATCTTTTAATCACAGCAAAATAATGACTTTCAAGTGATTATTGTCAGTGTCACGTAATACTGATATATTTTTCCTACTCGATATTCGAGTCACGAATTCATTGAACGAAAAGTTTTGTTTAAGGCTTACTTATTATTATAATGTATAGACGTTACTAAATATTTATAACGCTACACAATATAATGATGAAAGAAAATATAAATCCCTATATATAATGATTAACTAAATCTAATAATAACAGATATAATAAGTATTTAATAAATTAATAACGGATATATAAGCACTGTTCAATTTCTATTTAATATTTATTACACCTTGAGTTTCAGAGGATAATTAGCAGTGATTCAGCTCTTTTATGATAAACATTATATAATTATGAATTTAAAAAGTTAAGCAAAATTTATGATGTTGGATTCTGTGTATTCTGTAGTTAATTAAATAACTAGAAACTCTGACGCTATTGCCACCGGCTACTTTTCTCTTTTGCCAAAAGCATCTGTTACCTTTCATGCCACGACAATAGCTGTTGGACGATTTGGTTCGATAGTTCCAATTGATGTTGAACTGCAGGATGTGAGTATACACCGAGATATCCATAAAGAAGTTCTCGTGGAAACCAGTTTCGATCAGCAGTATCTTGATTTGAGGAGTGTCTTGCGGCTATGGTTGCTCCAGCCGTACCGGCGCCAATTATTATAAAATCAAAAGTATGTCCGAACTGCGGTGTCTTGTCCAGTATTTCTTGATTTGAATAATGTTGATTTTGTTTCAAGACATTATTCACTCCAATAGCTAATTTTAGTAATTTCAACAACTTTGATCCGCTGATATTATTGTTGTAATTACTGTTATAGTACGTGTGCCCATGTAATAAGTAAAATTACTAGTGATTTGAATTTTTGAAATAAACTAATACTTGAATATCTTTTTAAATACAATTTCTTTTTAAATGATACAAATAATGTATCAAATATGAGCATTTATATTATCGTCGTTATTACAAAGTAAATATGCATGTGAGTAAAAAATAATAAAATTACTTCATAAAAGTTTATTATAATTATGACTTTTCCAAGTAACCCCAATCTTTTTTTATCATATCTGCCGTTTTTTCGGCGATCATATAAACAGGAATGTTTATGTGCGCCGATATAATTTCGGGCATAATGGACGCATCTGCTACTCGTAATCCTTCAATGCCAATAACCTGCAAAATATTACATATGAATTTATAAAGCACACTGCTGATTATGATATCCCGCATAAATATTCTAATACGTATTTACAAACAAATACCTTTAATTTGGGATCGACGACAGCAGTTGGATCTCCCCTAGGTCCCATTTTACAACTGCCGCAGTAGTGATAAAGTGTCGTTGAGAGAATCCTTATTGCGCATTCCCAATAAACGTCGGAGTCATATTCGTAATTGTTGCATTCAGTATAAGTAATGTTTAAAAACTGAGAATCGAGCGCCTGCATCGCCTTTGTCCGACCAATACTTAATGCAGTTCTAATCCCAGCAATCATTGTCCTGACGTCGTCTGGATCATCGAAATAATTTGGCACAATCTCTGGTTTAACATTAACGTCGTTAGCTAACAATGTTATTCTACCGCGACTTTTAGGTTTCAACAGTATTGGTAAAACGGTCCAGCCATTGCTGCCACTGTACTTATCCCATTCCTGAGTTATAGGATCATTAAATTCCAATATCCTTGGGAAAATAATATCTTTAGTTGTACCACCAGTAAATAATAATTCGATGTCTGGTAAATTATTATTTTTTTCTGGGTGTTTTGTGTTGACGAAACCGAGGGCCTCGCACCCGCCCGGAATCGTAAATAATCCAGTTCGATTTATTATAAAGTCCAATATATGCGGATTAATAGGATTTATCAGATCGAAGAACTGTAAACTGACCACTGCGTTTGTTGTAAATGACAATCCAAAGAAGACTGGATGGTCCATGAGGTTATCGCCGACTGGCGCATCTTGAATTACGTTTATGCCTAGTTCGGAAAGATGTTTCGCTGGTCCGATGCCGGAGAGCATTAATAATTGCGGTGATCCAATGGCACCTGCACATAGAATCACTTCTTTGTTCGCGAACACACGTATTCTTTGGTTATTCTTGACGAATTCTACGCCGATGGCTCGATTTGTAATACGATCGATTAGCACTTTTGTCACCGTACTCTCACGAGTCAAGTGAAGATTGGTGCGACCGTGCACGGGATGCAAGTATGCCCTATTGCTACTTATGCGAGTGCCATTCATGATTGTGCTTTGCAGATATGAGAATCCTATTTTGTTCTTTCCGTTGTAATCTACTAGTGGATATCCTAGCTCCTTGCCAGCTTCTAGAAATGCCTCTGCCAACGGGGTATGAAATGACGGGTATGCGATATGTACTGGTCCATTGGTACCATGATAGTCAATATCCGATTTCAGCTCTGGAATATCCATTGTTTCCAGTTTTTTGAAGTACTGGAGAACGTCCTGATATGCCCAGCCTTCGTTTCCCATCTCGGCCCAGCGATCGTAATCTTCGGCGCCGCCTCTACTTGCTATCATAAAATTTAGCACGCTACTGCCACCGACTACTTTTCCACTCGACCAATGGCAACTATTATTTTTCATGCCCCGACAGTACTTGTTGGATGATTTGGTCCGATAGTTCGAATTTATTTTATTGTTTGTCTGGAGGACGATAGCGAATACTGGGATATCCATAAAGAGGTTTTCACGGGAACCAGCTTCGATCAGCAGTACTTTAATTTGTGGCACTTCGCTTAGTCTTGCGGCTATGGTTGCTCCAGCTGTACCAGCGCCGATCACTATAAAATCGTATCTGTCCCCAAACTGGGGTGTCATATCCGGTAATTCTTGTTCTACATATTGTCGATTCTGCTTCAAGAAATCAGTAGTTGAGCTTAGTAATTTTAGCAACGTCCATCCGTTATTACTATTGCCATGAAGACTACTGTAGTATGGGTGCCCATGTAACGAGTTGATTATGGTACTGATACTGAGAACGTAAAGGACACTCCGAATCTTGTTCGTCATATTTAAATAATAATTTGCTTTTGAATTATATGGAATAATGTGCAATGATAGAAAGTATGCTTAGATGCTCGTCATATATATCTGGCCTGTAATTTTAAGTGTGCGCTTTATGCAGGGTGTAATAAAAAGATCGAAACATTGAATTATCACGGAAAAAATATCATTTTTGGAAGAAATGTTTTAGACAAAAGTTGTAGGATTTAAGAAGATATATTTACTGACTGGTGTTAGACTTTTTGTGGAGTCGTTAAGGTCAAGTCAGGGTCGCTTCAAATTTTTTAATTTAGACCCCTTATTTTTTATTGCATATTTTTGTAGCCACGTATATAGTTGAAGTTTGGCGCGTTCTTGGAGCGAAAATTAACATGCGTTTTGTTCCAAAAGATACAAGTGTAAGGGCAATATTTAAGATCCCTGAAAGTAAAAAAAATAGTTTATTGAGATTTGAGGTTCGGAAGTGTCTCGTTCAGTCGGAAGTAGCAGCGCGTACTTGAATATATGTAATTAAATACCGTTAGTGGTTCTTCCTGCGTTTTGTGTCAAGAGATACAAGTGCGAGGGCAATCTTTAAGATCCTTGAAAGTAAAAAAAGATAGTTTGTTGAGATTCGAGGTCCGGAAGTGCCTTGTTCAACCGGAAGTAGCAGCGCGTATTTGTATATAACTGCTCAAAAAAATTAGAGGACTATTTTTTCTCAGTAAATTTTTGCCCATTTTTAAACTGTAATTACTCAGCAAATAATTAGCGTAAAAAAATTTTTGAAAAGAGTTTTACAGGGCAAACTCTCTACTATAAGCAAGCTCCCCGCAGTGCACATCGAGTTACGCAAATGTCGGCGGTATAGTACTGAAATCATAAAAAAAACAGAAGTACTTTAAATGATATCTGGCTAAATAATCGGCGTAGGGCAAGTTTTTTTTCTTTATTTGAAAGAATCCGTACTTTGAGATAATATCAATAATTATGTTCGCCAATTTTTTTGTTAGGCAGCGGAAGACTGCAAATTTCAAGACTTTGGATATCTCAAATACGTCCTTATTCAAAGCTGATCACGTCTTTGAGTATTAAACTGGATAAAAATTGAACAAAAAAGCACCTTATAGTAGAGAGTTTGCCCTGTAAAATCTGTTTTCAATTTTTTTTTACGTTAATTATTCGCTGAGTAATTACAGTTTAAAAACGAGCAAAACCTGATCTCCTATATCATTTTTTTGAGCAGTGTACGAAATTAAAAATTCTTAGATTTTTTCTGTGTTTTGTGCCAAACGGTGCAAGTGCAAGGACAATATTTAAGATCTCTGAAAGTAAGAAAAAATAGTTAGTTGAGATTCGAGATCCAGAATTGTTTTGTTCAGCAGGACATAGCAGCGCATACTTGAACACAAAGATAAATATTTTTTTAGATTTAACAAATTTTCTTAAAATTCCGTTTCAAAGAAAATGCATTGGAATAGTCCAACCAAACCAATGTTTAAACTATAAAATGCAATTGTTGGATTTTTCAAATAAAATCTATTTTTACCTTAAAATAAATATTTTCTCGATAAAAAGTGAATGTTTTTTTTTATTGAATGTTTAACTTATACTATTTTATTATTTCAGTCAAAGTATTTAAATATTTTATTTAAATTATTTTTGTTAAATAAAACAATTTTATTATTTCAGTCAAAGTATTGTACTATTGGTATGTGATAAGCCACATGCTTCTAAAAATGAAGCAATATTGTTTAAAACACTCGTTTTAAATCAAACTTTAACGAAATCTTTTTTTGGAAACGAACGAACCAAACTACTTTTCCGATGTTAGCACTCGAAAAAACTGAAGATGACTTGAGCACGACGTGTGTGCCTACACAATGCTGATGGCTGAACTGAAGCAAAGCGCGGAAGGCTTATGGCACTTGATCCTCCTTGTCTCGGACCGATACGGTCAGTGTCGAAAGATTAAACGAAATACGAAAACGGTGCGCGACTAGAAAATATCCGTGAGTGAGCGATCGCACACACACAAACGTCGGCCAGCCCCGTCAGAAACTCTCAAACACTTCACGTTCACACTTCTTCTTTACTTACCTAATGGTTTTCACGTTCGCACTTGGCAAGCAACAATTTTGCTTCTTTGAAAACGCAGTAAGATGATTGGTTTATCGATTATCACGTCGCTCTTGCCGTAGCGTTCAAGCCGGACGAAATAGGCTAACTTTCTCGCCGAGCGATTGCCTCGATCCGTATCCTGTTTTGTCTCGAACCAAAAAAACTAATTAATCGTCAAGACTGTTTTGACCATAAATATTCTTTTTATTAAATTAAATTATTAAATTTTATTGCAAAAAATATTACCTCATTGTCAGTCAGGGTTCGAACTTGGAACCTCCCCATTCCGTATAGGGCGTCGTACCAATTCGACCACTGAGGCGCATATATCTATATGTTAATAAAAACCTTACATTTTTTGCTATTACTTCTGGATTCTTAATCAAATTTAACAATGGTTATTCCAAGCAATAAATTAGTTGTAAATAGTAACACTCTTATTTCAGTCAAACATATTTTAGAGGGGACTGGGGCTATGTGCCTACAATTTACGCTTTTTTCAAGTTTACTAAAAAACTAATAAAGATATTTGACTAAAATTTTAATGGTATAACCTTTCAACCTTGCTATTAAAAAAAAAGCATAATTAGAATCGTTGATCTTTTAACACTCTAAAGAGGCGAATTTTTTAAGGAAGTTTCGTCGCTACAAAAAATGCAGCCAGTTTCATGAAATGTTAATATGTTGTTCTGGAATGCAAAATAGAATTATGTAAATTTTTAGGGAATTTGTTACCGTCTCGTTTTGAAAACAATCTCCAAAAATTGTACTTTTTAACATAGGTTCTTACGGGAAATGTCATATTGCACACTGCAAGAAAAAATGCAAATGATAAGGGAAAAAAAATATGCACATGTAACTTAATAATTTACAAATAAATAAGTGAAAGAAAGGGGAAGGTTACCGCACATTTTCCACATACCGTGGAAAAATTAATTATTAAAGAATAAATTGTTTGATTTTTCGTCTGCTCACTCCCACTACTTCAAACGCTAGTGCGCTGTTTGCCAGAACCCCCGCGTCCCACTACTCCCCCCGATGAAGCAACCGAATCTCCTTAAGTGGACAAGTCTCGTAGGTCGTTTTTTTACAGTAGCGAGTAGCGAGTGAGAGCCCGAACATTTATTCCAAAGTCTAACGCTGTTTTTACGAAAAGATTCTCGCTCAATTTTTATTCTTTTAATCGCTCTAAATATAATTTTATTAGATATGTCTACCTTATCCGTCTTAAGGAAAGTCTTTCTTTTGTAGTTACGCACCATTATCTATTTATAAAAGAACAATTCGTCAATGAAGTGTGGACTCATTGACCCATCAAAAACAGGACAGATAGCCCCGACCACGTTTTTCAGTCTTTAACATGTTGCCAATTTTAGATAATGCGGAATTAAGATTTGACGCTTCTCACACACACACACACACACCTGATAACTATATATTAATTGATAATATTATGAATTGCTTACTTTAATTTGAATTAAACTACTGTCGCACAGCAAATTTTTCGATCGTCGAAAAATGTGAATAATTGTTTTCGCTTTTCTTTTAACGTATATAGCGTCTGCGAAAGGGATCGCAAGAAAACAAATAATTTTTAAATATCTTACGTAGGGCATTTTTCAATTACTTGTTACAATGGTAGAGACATCTGTTTCTTAAAACTTGAGATAGCAGTACTGTGGACACATAGCCCTCGTAGACAGATAGCCTCGGTTTCACCTATATCATTTTTATACAAAGAAATGTTTTATTTCAATCTATCGCAGGAAGTAATTCTGTCTTCCTGAGTAATATTTCGTGTAATCAAAGAAAATGTTATCATCGTCGAAACATATTGTTTCAAACAATCGTATTTTTTTTGTTAAACAATATGTTTCCATGAAATAAATATAATAGAAATAATGAATGTAAATAAATATTTTTCTCTGTGAAATATATGCGTTTAAAATTTTAGTAGTTTTTCCTGGGTTTTGTGCCAAAAGGTACGAGTGCGAGGACAATATATAAGATCCCTGAAAGTAAAAAAAATAGTTTATTGAGATTTGAGGTCAGGAAGTGCTCTGTTCGCACCGCGATTCAATTTTTGACAATGAGGCAATTTATCTCTGTGTGGTAAAAACAAGCAAGCAATTACAAGGGGGTAATTGTAACGCTACAATTGTCTGCAGGCATTGATATTACTATTCCGTTGTTTATTTGGTTTATATTTGGATAAGTAAAAATTAAATAGTCTTTATATATATATATGAATAATTGCGTGTTTCGAGCGTGCCGTCAAATCCATTAAATCCGTTTTTAATTAACAAAATTGCTCACAGATATTAACACTTAACATTTATCAAACTGTAAGAATATATTACGTACCACACAACTATTTAAGATGTAAAGTAAATATAAATAGAGTAAAGATCAAGTGAATTGCAGGCAAGAAACAATATTGAAGTTTAATTAGATTTCAAGAGCCCTTTTATATGGTTTCTATTTAAATAATTGAGTTTTTATGTGTAATTTTCCTTCAATATACTTTGTATACTTCAATTTAAATCAAAAGTGGTTTCTTGCCAAATTATATATATATTTGCAAATTATACATATTTGCATTGTCATATCTTTGGAGAAGACTTCGTTAATTTTTAAAAATAAAAGTTTATAAAAAAGAATTAATACTTTTTATTTTCTTGAATATTCTCTGTTCCTTACACTTACACAGCTACTTTTCAAATTTGAATAAATTAATTAACTAATAATCGAATTATTTCTTAAATACAATTGCTTTTTGAAAGATACCTCACAAATAGTACATCAAATATAAGCATTTATATTATCGTCGTAATTATAAAGTAAACATGTATGTGAGTAAGAAATAATAAATTAATGCAATTACTTCATAAAAGTTTATTATAATTATGACTTTTCCAAGTAACCCCAGTCTTCTTTGATCATATCTGCTGCTTTTTCGGCGATCATATATACAGGAATGTTTATGTGCGCCGATATAATTTCGGGCATAATGGACGCATCTGCTACTCGTAATCCTTCAATACCAATAACCTATTAAAATATTACATATGAATTCATAAAGTATGTACATGCTGCTTATTATGATATTTTGCATGAATATTTTATTATGTTTTTACAAACAAATACCTTTAATCTGGGATCGACGACAGCAGTCGGATCTCCCCTAGGTCCCATTTTACAAGTGCCGCAAGTGTGATAAAGTGTCATTGAGAGAATCCTTATTGCGCATTCCCAATAAGCGTCAGAGTCATATTTATAATTGTTGCATTCAGTATAAGTAATGTTTAAAAACTGAGAATCGAGCGCCTGCATCGCCTTTGTCCGACCAATACTTAATGCAGTTCTAATCCCAGCAATCATTGTCCTGACGTCGTCTGGATCATCGAAATAATTCGGCACGATCTCTGGTTTAACATTAACGTCGTTAGCCAACAATGTTATCCTACCACGACTTTTAGGTTTCAACAATACTGGTAAAACAGTCCAGCCATTGCTGTTACTGTATTTCTCCCATTCCTGAATTATGGAATCTTTAAGTTCTAATAACCTTGGAAACAGAAAATCTTTCATTGTTAAACCGATGAACAATAATTCAATGTCTGGTAAATCGCTCTGCTTTTCTGGGTGTTTTGTGTTGACGAAACCGAGGGCCTCGCTCCCGCCCGGAAGCGTTAACGGTCCAATTCGATTTATTATAAAGTCCGATATATGCGAATTAATAGGATTTATCAGATCGAAGAACTGGAAACCGACCGCTGCGTTTGTTACGTATGTTATTCCGTAGAAGATTAAGTGGTCCATAAGGTTTTCGCCGACTGGCGCATCTTGGACGACGTTTATGCCCAGTTCTACAAGATGTTTCGCTGGTCCGATGCCGGAGAGCATCAATAACTTTGATGATCCAATGGTTCCCGCACATAAAATTACTTCTTTATTCGTGAACACACGTATTGTTTGCTTATTCTTGACGAACTCTACGCCGATTGCTTGATTTGTGATACGATCGATCAGCACTTTTGTCACCGTGCTCTGAAGAGTTATATGGAGATTGTTACGATCGTGCACGGGATGTAAGTACGCTCTATTGCTACTCATGCGAACGCCATTCATGATTGTGCTTTGCAGATATGAGAATCCTATTTCGTTTTTTCCGTTGTAATCTACTAGTGGATATCCTAGCTCCTTGCCAGCTTCTAGAAAGGCCTCTGCTAACGGAGTACGAAATGGCGGGTATGCGATATGTACTGGTCCATTGGTACCATGATAGTCAATATCCGATTTTAGCTCTGGAATATCCATTGTTTCCAGCTTTTTGAAATACTTGAGAACGTCCTGATATGCCCAGCCTTCGTTTCCCATCTCGGCCCAGCGATCGTAATCTTCGGCGCCTCCTCTAGTTGCTATCATAAAATTTAGCACACTATTGCCACCGACTACTTTTCCACTCGGCCAATGGCAACTATTATCTTTCATGCCACGACAGTACTTGTCGGATGACTTGGTCCGATAGCGCCAATTGACGTTGTTATTCGTCTGGAGAAGAGGAGCGAACAGTGGGATGTCCATAAAGAGGTTTTCATGGAAACCAGCTTCAATCAGCAGCACTTTGTTTTGAGGTATCTCACTTAGTCTTGCGGCTAGAGTTGCACCAGCCGTACCAGCGCCGATCACTATAAAATCGTATCTGTCTCCAAACTGGGGTGTCATATCCGGTAATTCTTGTTCTACATACTGTCGATTCTGCTTCAAGAAGTCAATAGTTGAGCTTAGTAATTTTTGTATCGTCCATCCGTTATTACTATTGCCATGAAGACTGTTGTAGTATGGGTGTCCATGTAACGAGTTGATTATAGTGCCGATACTGAGAACGTGGAAGAGACTCGGAATCTTGTTTAGCATATTTGAATAATAATTGGCCTTTAAATATGTTGAATGATGTGTAATAACAGGAAATGTGCCTGGTCGTTCGATATATCTGGCCTTTTAAGTTTACACCTTATATAGCTGTCACTTTTCGCGACTATAGTAGAGGCTTCATAAAATTTAACTGAACAATTTTAGATTCTATGTGTATATAGTTTTATATGCTTGTGTCCCCTCCAAAGAATTCGTAAGATTGTATTAATATCACGACAAAGAGAAATAAATGGCTATTCTGTCCTCCAGACTAAAGAAATGAATGACTATTGCACTATTTCACATTTGGCAGGAGTCTTTTTTAAATTTATCATGTATGTTAATATTTTGCTCTTGCAACATTGGTTTTTCTGAATTATTAATTGTATGACTTACCTTTTGATTAATATTTATGTCATAATGGGCAACTTATTTTAACGGCGCAGGAATTGTGCCGATAATAATGTGAAAAATTAACCTATTGCGTAATCTCATATTTGATAGAAGTTTTTTAATTTTCAATGTAATGTTTTAATATTTTACTTTTTTAACGTTAGATCTTCTAAATTGTTAATCTTTTATTATACGTTATTTATTTGGTCCATGTTGTCGAATTGATTCTGATATCTGATTTTCGATTAAATAATAAACTGAACTTTCTAGAGAATATGCCTTTTAATTTTCATCGACCGATATCTCATGCTTTTGTGAGCATTCTTGTGTTTTGTCTCAGTCATGTAGGTCATATTTACGTACATCGATTTCTTTCCAGCATGATTCGTGGGGTCATCTTATGAAACGTCTGACTTTATTGCATGCAATATTTTTTTATATAATGATAAAACAACTTTTTTTTATGTCTTATGAGATATTGTAAAATTCAAAACTTGACTGGAGGTTCTGTTCTAGGATGCGTGTTTTGTTTAATGTGGTATATAATATAAAATATGCCTGTAGTGTCGAGAGAAAGAAGAGATCATGTCGCTATTTAATTCATAAATAAAAATGCAATTTTTGCTGAATAAAACTATTTAAAATAATTGAAATTACTGAAAATATTTCTTACAAAAAATTGTAATTACTATTATTTTTTCAATAATGATTTTTGTATATTTTTAAGGTACGTTTTGTTAGCTGCTGTCGAAACAGATACAAGATGTATAATGCAAAATCGATGAAAGTCACATTTACACATAAATATGATAAATCAATTCTTTTATTTTTAATGTTTTTTTGTAATGTTTAATATGTAGTTCTCTTATACTATAATATAGTGCAATATTATGAATCAGCATAGTACAATTTTTTGGATAGTAAACGCAAATTTTATTCCATGTACAAAAATCATTTTTTTTCTAACGATTAATGACTTTTCAAAAATGGATCTTATTTCGTATAATAGTACAGTAATTTTTTTATTTTAACAGTTTGGCAAGTGTTAAAGGTTCATAATTAAATTATTATTCGGTAATTATTGTTCGGTCTGAATGTGTGTAATGTTTATTGTTATTTGAATATACTGCAATAGTAGTAGTAACATTTATTTCGATTCCGAGGAATTACAAAATGGCGTTTTTGAGGGACGTACCCAACCTTTTACAACGTTTAATATACTGCAATATAGTGTTTAATTTTTTTAATTTTTACACTAATGTTAGATTATTTTACATTTCGCATTATTTGTCTAGAAGATCATACAGAAGTACTGACATCGCGCGCGGCGAAGTCCTGATCTTCGATATAAACAATACTTGTTGTACTTCGGTGTAAACAACAATATTGTATGAATATAAATAAGATATTAATTTTATTGAAATATTATATATGTAATGAATATTATATATACAATGAATTTGTTGTGATATTATATAAGTTGAACTATGAAGACTACGATCGTTATAATAGGTATCCATCGACTGTCGGCATACTTACACATTATTCTATATACAAATTTTATGTTATATACAATACATATATATATAATATTTTAATATATCTGTGAGAATTACATAAAATATTTTATGTAATTTAATAAAATAGTATTTTTTTATAGAATTCACTAAAATAATTTTAATTTTGTTTTAGTTTATGAAAATAACTAAGAAGAAATACAATGTGATAGTAGAAAGAAACTTATAAAATATTAAGAATTTTAAAACCTTGCAAAATATTTGCAAAAAATACTTGCCGATTATTTTAAACTATAAAGGGAGCTTTTCAGCAAGCGACACAAGTGCCGTTTTGTCTTTGTTACTCATTGTCAAAAAGGAAAGATAGAATGACGTTAATGTCGACCTTTGTCGCTTGCTGGAAAGCTCCCAAAATATAGAATGCTTAGATAATAGTGTGAATGTTACGATTTTCTTTTAATTAGACTTTACATGCGTTTTTCTTTTGATGTAATGACAAGAGGAGAATGAGTTTTCCAATATATTTGGATTAATTTGTATTTGCAGCGTTATTCATGAATCGTTTATTTGTGTCCGTTTGCGCTGTTTATTTGGTCTGGAACTGACTTAAGAAATTAATTATTCTATAATATATGTACAGGATGTCTTATGAATTTAAGATTAAGAATAATAACATCTTATTTGTAACCGTTATTAACAAGAGGAATAATAATCTGTTTTCGGCTTTAGCACTATGTATTGTATCACACATAGCGTGCGAATTTTAATTCATTAATTTTAAATGCTTATATTAAAAAACTATCATAGTCTCGACATTTTGGTATTAGAATTTTCGTCTGAATCGTTTAGGTGTTGTTACAGTCTTTACGGGGCATCCTGTATATATAAAATAAAAAATTTAATATTTATCAAACTGTAAGGATACACATATTACGCGATTAGCTATTCAAGATATGAAATAAACATAATACAGCAACAGAATTAATTAAATTACGGAAATGGAACAGTATTAAAGTTTGATTAAATTTCAAGACCTTTCTATGAAGTGATTTTTCTCTAATAAGTATAATTTCTCATTTGTCCTAAAAAACTTTTTTTGCGAATTACACGCACACATTTGCATTGTTTATCTTTCCAAAAATATTTTTTTAACGTTTAAAAATTTGAACTAATTCTATCAGAATTAATATGTAACTTTTCCATTTTCTTGAATATTATTTTACTCTTACATTTTTCTAAACTAAATCGACCAATACTCGAACTAACTCTTTTAGTTCAATTCCTTTTCAAAAGGTATACTTCGAATAATACAATGAATTTACGTGTTTGTACTATTACCACAATCGTAAGGCGGTACTAAAAAAATATAGCACAATAATATAATTATTGTACTTTATAAAAGTTTACCTCTATCGTGACTTCTTTAAATAACCCCATTCTTCCTTGATCATATCTGCCGCCTTCTCAGCAATCATAAAAACAGGTATATTTGTGTGGGCCGATACAATTTCGGGCATAATGGACGCATCTGCCACTCGTAATCCTTGAATACCGATCACCTGCAATATATTGTATACGAACTCACAAATCAGGATGTACATTTGCACATTACATTACTTATTATACTTCCGCGCAAATATCCTAGTGAATTAAAGAAAAATACCTTTAATTTAGGATCAACGACAGCAGTTGGATCTCCTCTTGGTCCCATTTTACAAGTCCCAGAATAATGAAAAAGCGTGGAAGACATTATCCTTATCGCGCATGCCCAATAAGCATCAGAGTCATATTCGTAATTGTTGCATTCCGTATAAGTAATGTTCAACAATTGAGAATCGAACGCTTGCATCGTCTTTGTCCGACCAATACTTAACGCAGTTCTAATCCCAGCAATCATTGTCTTCATATCGTCTGGGTCATCGAAATAATTCGGTACGATCTCTGGTTTAACATTAATGTCATTAGCCAATAACGTTATCCGTCCACGACTTTTTGGTTTCAACACTACTATCCCAAGGCTCCAACCATACGTGTCAGCGTATTTGGCCCATTCCTGACGTATATATTTGTTCAAATTGATCATTTTTGGAATAATATAATCTTCTTTAATTGTACCACCAGCGAATAATAGTTCGATATCCGGTAGATCGTCATATTTTTCTGGTCGTTTTGTGTTTACGAAACCGAGGGCCTCGCATCCACCTGGAATTGTGAGCGGTCCCGTTCGGTTTATTAAAAAATCCGTTAGGTATGGATTAACAGGGTTAACCATTTCGGGTATTATTAAACTTATCGATGCGTTTATTGTCCACGTTAATCCGAAGAAAGTTAGGTGATCCATAAGGTTCTCGCCGACAGGCGCATCTTGGACTACGTTTATACCTAGTTTGGTAAGATGTTTCGCTGGTCCGATACCCGAAAGCATCAACAATTGAGATGATCCGATGGTACCTGCACTTAGAATCACTTCTTTGTTCGCGAACACACGTATAGTTTGATTATATTTGACGAATTCTACGCCGACTGCTCGATTTGTACTAGGATCGATCAACACTTTTGTCACTTTGCTCTCAAGAGTTACGCGAAGATTGTTGCGATCGCGCGCGGGTTTCAAATACGCCCTATTGCTGCTCATGCGAGTGCCGTTTATGATCGTGGTCTGCGGATATGAGAATCCTATTTCGTTCTTTCCGTTGTAATCTACAAGTGGATATCCTAACTCCTTGCAAGCTTCTAGAAAGGCTTCTGCTACCGGGGTA